TTTGTTGTTGTTGTTGGTTGGGCATCTTCATCAGCTCTGTCTTCTCTATATTCACCTAAAGTCCCGTCTTCACTGCCTTGCCTCTTCTGCCAACTTGTTAGTTTTCGCCTGTAGATCTTCAAGTTTGTGTGACATCAGACACAAGTCATCGGCGAAATCCAGATCTTCTAGGTTCTTTTCCGTAGTCCAGCCAGCGTATCCCCCTTTTCTCGCTCCCCACTGTTTGCTGCATGATCCAGTCGACCAATCGGGAAAATGGTTGATGATAGTAGGCAGCCTTTTTTTACTCCTATCTTCACTTCAAACAAGTCACTGAGCTTCCCATTGTGAAGTACTTGGCATGCGGCGTCTTCATATAGTTGTTGAATGACATTGATAAAGGTTTGTGGTATTCGTTAAAGTTGAAGCAACTGCCAAATTACTTGTCGGTCGACGCTGTCGAAGGCCTTTTCAAAGACGATGAAGTTGATTTAGAGGGTTGACTGCCATTCTATGCTGTGTTCTATGATAATGCAAAGTGTTGCAGTTTGATCCGCACATGATTTGTACTTCCTAAAGCCAGCCTTTTCTGGTCGTTTGTTTGAATTCAGAGCATCCTTTAGTCTCTCCAGGATGATGCGGCTTAATATTTTACTTGAGGGGGACAGGAGAGTGATTCCGCGCCAGTTCTTGCAAACACTCAGGTCTCCCTTCTTCGGGAGTTTGACAGGGTAACCCTTCTTCCAATCACCAGGTACCTTCTCTTCCTTCCACACCTTCTGCAATAGTGGTGTGAGCATGTCCGCTGTTGTCTCTGCATCTGTTCTCAGTGCTTCTGGCGAGATCCCATCTGGTCCTGCTGCTTTCCCACATTTCAGTAGCTTTATGGCGTTCAGGACTTCTACTTTTGTTGGAGGATTTATGTTCACTTGTAGTTCGGCGGCTGCAGGTGGTATTTCTGGACGAAGTGCAGGTGATGAGGGTGGTCGATTCAAGAGCTTCTTGGAGTGGTCGGCCCATCGTTTCCTTTGTTTCTCTTTTTTCGTAATTAACTTTCCGTCACCATCTTTTATTGGTTTCGTCTGCGTTGATCTCTTTCCTCCCAGATAGCAGTAACCTGGTTATTTGATACAATGTTGTCAGGTCTCTATCTCTCCTACCAGCCGGCAGCCTATTCTGCTTCACTTGCCAGTGTTTCGTAGAAGTGTGTTTTGTCTTTGCGTGCACTCTTCTTCACTTCTTTGTCCAGTATTTTATACATTGTACTCAGTTCCTCTTTTCGTTGTGCATCCTTGCACTGGTTTATCTTCTGCTTCACCATCCTCCTCTTCTCTATCAGCTTCCATGTATCTATCGAGATCCATTGCTTATCTTCTTTCTTCTTCCTTCCTAATACGGTTGTGGAGGTTTCTTTCCACATCTCTTTGAAAGACTTCCAGTGTTCTTCCACACAGGTTTCTTCAGGGATGTTCCTCGATATCTGCCATTTTGTCTTGATGGTCGCCATGAAGATTTCCTTTGTAGTTTCGCCCTTCGGTTTCCATTCTGGGTGTTGTACTTGAACTGAGGTCTATCACCAGCTTCCTTGAAGGCTTTCAACTTGATTTAAAAGGTTCCTTGCACTAGACATTGAGTGGTCTGAATCTACATCTGCTCCTCTTCTTGACCTTGTGTCAAGTAGAATGCGTCTCCATTTTCTTCATATTGAAATGAAGTCGATCTGATTTTTCATGCGTCCATCTGGTGAAATCCTTGTCGCTTTGTGGATATCCTTGTGCTTGAACACACTGCCTAGCCTCCAATCACCAAATCGTTGAATGCACAGAATTCTGCAAACAATTCTCCATTCTCGTTCATCACCTCACCGAGCGCTTCTCGACCAATGGTTAGTTCTCTTCCTGTGTTGTCCCCTCCCAGTTTGGCATTCATGTCACCTCACCCACTAGAATTTTGATATCGCCAACTGAGGTGGTGTCTTGTCCAGTGTTGATTGAAGTTGTCTGTAGAATTCCCCCTTCTCTTGATATGCATTGTTTGTAGGTGCATAGCATTGTATGATTGTGACTTTCCTTTCTTTTGAGTTGAATCTTGCTGTCATGATTCTGATCCTGCTGGAGAAGATTGGTTCCCACTGCATGAGGGCCTTCGATACTCTTGGGGACATCATGATAGCCACTGCAAAACTTAGTGTGCTCGTAGTTGCCATCTGGGTGACCGGAGTAGATTATTGATTCTCCAGTTGACAGTTTGGAGAGTCCACTCCCATTCCATCTGCTTTCGCAAATTCCTGGCATTTCCATGTGATACCTCTTCATCTCCTTTGCAATCTGAGCTACCTTGCTGGGTTCAAACATGGTGCGGACATTCCATATCCCCACGTTCACTTTTGCTTTCATCGAGAGAAGACACATCAGCCAATTGGCTTCCCGAAGGCTTTCACCAACTGGCGTCATTTCGCCTCTCGGATTCCAGCGGGGAATAATTTTGTTATTATTTTTTATATTTTGTTTGTGCTTTGAAGTTTCTTTAGCGGTTAGATTTGTTTTACGTGGTAGGGTTGCTAGCCCTATGGCCAACCTTCTGTGTTTACCTGGGCTTAGGACCGGCTAGTAACTAGTGAACTAGTTAACCAGGCGAGGTTTCAGGCAGCTAATTACGTGGTTTGAATATGGGCTTAGAGCTAGATATTAACATGCACAAAATTCTGTTATGGATAAAGAAGTAAAAATTAATTTAGCTCTTATTTGCTGACCAAATTCTGTGGATCATTTGTATAAAATGACCACTAACCCGAGTAAAGTGATACTGCAACAAAAATTGTTTTGCTACTGGTATTAGCAGTCAATTAGCAGGATATTGAAAACAAAAGTTCCATGATTATAGGTCACATTGTACTACTGGTTGACTAATTATTAGTTAACAACAAGAATCTAGCGGCTTTATTGGTTAACTGTTTATAGCTTATTCGTGTACGTAACTCGCAATGCTGAAGAATAGGTGAGTACTAAATTCCCCGCTCTCAGCTATGACTGAAGCAACGGAATAAATAACTTTTAAGAGTTGATGACCAATAAGCACAAATCCTACACCAACCAGTATTTTCCACTCATTGACTCTAAGCACAAAGTACTATCTTGTATAGATTAACTATCTGTTTCTATTCTTTACAAAGGTAGATTGGATGTCATTATTCATTGTAACCTATTTATTTCGATCACTGAGTAATTTAGAGTTAACAATATAGAAATGCATTAAGGTTTCACATAACTGATTGCAAGTGACACCAGTTGTCTAATAGCTGATGTTTTCATACAACCCATATGCCAGTAAGTCCACTAAAAGCATGAACACGTTGCTCATGTTATGAGAGGTAGACATCTAGGTTGTTTAGTTACAACTAACTGAAATGAAAAATTACCTTTTTCATTAACACACTACTTGCTTAGTATTTATTCAGCTGAAAACACTTTTTGTTGTAGTTCTGTATCAGCCTAATCATTTTTAATACGATATCGAATGAAACGTTTGAATTTCAATGAAATCTTCGTCAGGTTGCTTGTTTAGAGAATATTTTGCACTTAATACTTGGACTGTATCCTTTAACGGATTCTTTGGAATATTCTGTTATTTTGAATTGCAGGATTCAGGGGTGAATCTTCTAGACAACATGAGTTGGCTTGATCTAGCAGAGACACTTTGCTGACTTGTTTCATTCGACATGAATCTTGAATTACGGACCTCCAGCCAGCTTGTTTCAATTATATTAACAATGTTTACTGTTATGTCTACTTCCCCTAGTACCCGTCCTAAAATCTCAGTTGAAAAGAACTGACAGCAAGATATTGGCTTTTTTTGCATCTATCCTATTCTACTGGTTAATATTTGTCTATCAACACACCAGAATGTCAAAATGAGACTCCCTTATGGTTTTAGACTCGTTTTATGAGTTAATCAGTGATAACCTTCAAGGTTAGCTGAATTGAGTATACCAACAAATATTTTCACTCGATGTAGATAATTTTGTCAGCTGACTGAGTTAAATTGCCTTTCAACAACATTATAGCCTTGAGTTAAAGTGAAGAATCATTTTTTAAGAAGCTGGTCAGTCATTACTATCAGACTAACTTAATTCATTTGTGTCTGTCAGTCCCAGTGCCTAAATTCAGTCAGTTACATTTACACCTCCATGCAAGTCACACATATGATCAACAGTCTTATGTAGCATTCATTTCAGTACACTGAAAAATGAAACACTGATTAGTTAGGTTCTAGCTGTACTCGGATGCTTAATCAAGTTAGATTTTTGGCTGGACTTATAAATTACAAAATCACTGCAAGACATTGAATTGCTATATTGTTTGAAAACCCATAAATCGACTGTATATGACTCAGCAGCTTGAAATTGAATGCAAATTAAGAAGGCAGTAGATGGCAGTGATGTTTAGATTTAAATTCTGACCGTTCAACTGATTCAATATGAATTGTTTTGTTTCAAGATGAATGTATAACAAATAAATTATGCAATGTATTGAGCCCAGTTTTCTGTATAGAACTGGTATTTATGAGAATAACTTGCAAATTTAGCTGCGACTAGGTAAAGAGCTATTCAAAGACAAGAAATTTTTATCTAGTGCTTCGGCTTAATCCAGTTATGTGTACACAATTCTTTTTGTGCCTAAAGACAGCATTTTGAAGTCATACGGAAAAAATCGTATGATTCAACTACTATTATGGTATTTAAAGGCAAATATGCAGTAATTATAAACGGAAACAAATGATCAAGTGCTGTTCATAACGTATCACAAACTGATTGAATTCAAAAAATAAAAACTTGTGAATTTGAACTTTGAAGTTATGTTGTAGAGTTATTTTTTTTATAACCTGGAGCTACTGTCTTTTATTATGTAGAGAATACAGGTTGTGTAATTTTTTTTCTGGTCCCAAGCTATAGCTTAACATTGACTCCTTACTAACTTGTATTGAGAGTTATCATAACTATGTCAGTTGTTGTTATATTATAGGTTCAAAGATGGCGTAAAGAAAAACTGGAGATGAATGAACTCGAAGAGAGGAAAAATGCTGAAATTAAAGCACAACACAAAGAAGCTGAAGCCAAAAAGAAAGCAAAGGAAAATGCAGCTAGAAAAGCTATCAAAATTAAGGTAGTTTTTATTAATCTGTCAATATGCATTGTATTGACGTGTTATTAAAAAATCGTAGACTCTGTATAGAATGTAAACGGTTGCGAGAGACCTAAAGGATATCGTGTCTAAATCTTTCTTGCTGCTCTTTCAATGTGATCGTCAACATTTGTCTGAAACCTGAAGGAAATAATGCTGTAAGAGGATGATGATGAAGTTGAAAGACAACCCGGTTCGTATAACGTTTAAAATCAGTAGGCATAAGATTACCTATCCAACGTCTTTGGAGTAACCCGATAAAATATGTTACTTAATTGGTTTTTATATCAATTCAATTATGAAGATGTTTGCGTGTGAATCATTCACTTTCAGAAGCTTGAACCTACCTTACTCTTTCGAGTTACCATTATCAAGTTATTCTGAGGTAAACAGATCTTTGCATTAGCGTACTAAGCATATTAATAAATCACTGGAGAACAAACTATGAAGTACTGCCTAATTCACAGTACTAACCAAGTTATAGCATCTTAGTGTGCTTGACATGTCTTTAGCACCTGTCAAATATGAGGCTACGCTTCAAGGCCGGTTCATTGTACCACCTAGTCTGAAAATAGGAAACAGGAAAATAATAGAATAACGTGACCGCTACCCTTAATTTGTAATATGTGTCAATCGTAATAGATTTGTTGCTGGCAAAATCTCAGCTTGATGGCTGAAAGCCTATTGAGTATTGGAAAACATGTTACATCTCTGGCACCAATGGTATTTCCGATTGCAAACTAGATAATTAATATACTGCACAGTAGTTCTCTATCTCTTGCTGTTCAGCTTCGAAACATGTTTTCTTAAATTAAAAGATATAAAGAAGCTGTAGGCAAATACAAACAAAATTTACTGCTAGTCAAACATATTTGTTAGACTTTTTGTTTTTACAAAGCTTGAATTATTTTTCTTCATAGAATGATCTACAGTTGTTTTACCAATTTTTAATTCATTTTTACTGAGGATGCTGGCCATTGCGCATCAACCGAAGCCAAATACGTAAATATTAGAGCTAGCTATGTTTTAGTTTTGAGCTGCTTTGTTTGGTTACTGAAGTATTGGATCTAGTGACAGAATGCCCCACTTGCTGAGGTTAGAACGTTTTGATTATTCCCAAGCTTAAAGCCCGTTTTCCTATTGTAAAAAGCGACTTTCATTAGGAGGCTTTAGGTCTTATATAACTAATACCTCCGTAGTGTAGTTTTTCCCATGGTAAAGCCAACACATAAGTTCATATGAACAGTAATAGAGGGTGAACTTAAGACAGTTGTTATGGATGCGGTGAACCACTGCCTATCTTCATGTATGATGTTAGTCAGACCTGGATTAAATCTGCATGTACCTAGGCCGAGCAAATCAAGATACTTCATTACCCAGCAAATTCAATGTTCTATACTATATGAAGAAGCCCAATCCGCCTGTATGAAGTCCTTGACAAAATGGCATACAGTTTTTCTGACTTCTTCGACCACTGACGCAAAGTCAATGCACGTGCTTACTGTATTAATCATTTTTAAAATTCTGTGCATTTTCACAATCTTTTTATCATTTATGCTTTGATATTTTCTAGTTTACTATAAAAGCAACATTTTTCCAGGCATATTATCTTTGTGTGATGCTGCGAAGTGCAACATCTTGAGCTGAGGCCCTTCTATGAAAGGTTATATATTGATTTTTCTGTCTCCCAGTCTAACTATCACATTACAATATGTCCATCATCAGCTTATGAAGCTGATCAAGGGATAAATGAATGACTTCCGTTGCTGTTTGGGGTAGTAGTAGCTAATCTTTTTCTTAATCTCTACGCCTTATTATCTACTAGAGCTACTATTATGTTTTGTTCGTTTGATTTTTGCGATTTTTGGGTACACTAACTTAATTCTATATTCTTTCATCTTGTAATGTTGTATCTTGATATGATGAAGTGACATTCCGGCTGCTGCACGAAAATGCAGAGTCACATTTTGATACTGGCTTATGGATTAGTGAACATCACTGGTTTTAATGACTTTCAGATTCGTCAGTATCTAATTTTGGCCTGAAAAGATTCACCACAGAGACACTGACTAATATTAGGAATTGAAAACGAAAGAAATGTGAACATTAAATTAGACGTACTGTGGAGATTGAAATATAAGAGGAGATAGTTAGTTGCAAGATATCCGATAAAGACAAGATAGTGATCCATTTTATAGAGTGGTTAGAAGGATGGAAGATGAATAAAAGAAATATTTAATTTGACTTCACTTTTAGGTTACCTACTCTATGCACCTGGTTTTAGGTGCATAGATAAAGTTTTTATTTTACATTACAACAGTGTTGATGCCATGCTGATGTTAACAGTGCATCTCTGGTTAGAAGAGTTGACACTTGATAGGACTATTAAGCTTCAGGGAAATAAGCCAAATCACTATCCACTTCATCAACTACTACCACTACTACTACTAGAATAAGACATGACACCCGTCGATACCATACATAAGTGTTATGATTTGCGTAGGTTGTTGTAATTTAGATGATCGAAATCCTCAATAACATCATAATCAATGCCTCTCTGGGATCTGTAGCCTGGAATTTCATTTAAGAGACGACACGTTCCAACTAGCTTTTGTCACAACACTCCAGCGCTTTAACTGGATTTCCAACAAAGTTATGGATAAGTTAGCTGAAATCATAGACAAATGTATTTTGAATTGTCAGCAGTGGAATCAAACGGCAGAATTCAATAATATGATACTTAAGCAAAAAGGTACTTTTAGATTGAATGAAGGCTTACCTGTATATGTCAATCAAAAGTTCTGGAATTTTTAAGTTATGTGATGAATGCGGTCAATGCACGGAAAGGAAAGAAGCTCATTAAGTTAACCAAAACTCTCGAAAATCGTACACCAGAGATGAGATTCCCGACTAATCTAGGTCCACTTGTACATAATTTTTCTAGTATCGATCTGCATGCTACACAATTAGAAGTTTTGTCACTTGGAACAAAGTTTTGTGATAGTCATAATAGAATTAGTAAGATGGAAACGGAAATACAGTTTGAGAACATGTATATGCAAACGGAAGGTTTGATACCATCATGTAGTTAAGATGTTGATAGACTTAAGATTACACTCGTTGACTCCTGCCTAAAGTGCATGAGTAGTAGGAACAGTATGAAGAGTATTTTAACGAAAAAACATAGAGAAGCCTTGAAAAGGCTTAAAACTAATGCAAATGTCGTGATTGCCAAGCCAGATAATGGGTCAGGAATAGTTTTAATGGATAAAAAAAGTACATAGACAAAATGAATTCTTTACTTAGTGGTGAAATTAAATTTCAGAAATTAGCCGCTTATGGTGATACAACAGAGAAAACCGAGAAACATCTAACTGAATCACTGAAAAAGATAAACCAACCAGGTTTCATTTCAGAAAACACCTCTGAAATGCTGAAACCTACTGGACCCCTTTACACGTAGACTTTGCGGACTACCGAAACCGCATAAAAACGGTTTACCTCTACGACCAGTTCTTGACACGACTAACTCTCTGAATCATGCAACAGCAAAATGGTTGGTACAACTTTTGAAGCCTCTCCACAAAGAAGTTGTGAAGTACAGTCTCAAAGATACCTTTGAATTTGTCAGAAAGATTGAGGATCTGGAAGTAGATAATAAGTTAATGATTTCGTGTGACGTTTCATCTCTTTTTACTAACGTCCCTTTAATGGAGACAGTAGACTTTATTTGCAACGAACTCACGAAGCACGGCATGGAAATAGGTGTTCCAGAACTACTTCTGAGGTGTACGATGAATGCACAATTTCCTTTCAACAATGAATTCTACCAGCAATCTGATGGTGTTGCTATGGGGTCACCCCTTGGCCCACTCTTAGCAGTTTTTTTCTGGCAAAACTTGAGAATGGTCCACTGAACGATACTATAAGCAGTTTAGAGTTATATTGTCGTTACATGGATGATACCTTTATATTTCTCAAAAGTGAGACTGATAAGAATGCTGTTCTGAATAAGTTCAATAGTGTTCACCCGGCAATCAACTTAACAATGGAAGAGGAGAAAGATGATAGTATCCCATTTCTTGATGTTCTGTTGGTAACAAGGTCTAGTGGAACCCTGAAGCGAAGTGTTTATAGAAAGCCAACTTCAACAGGTCAGTATACGCACTTCTTTAGTGCTGTACCCCTCCAATACAAAAGGAACCTAGTGAAATGCTTAGCATACCTTGCATCAGCTATTTGCTCAGAGGATGCTACAAAGGAAGAGTGTGCCACCATCGTGATCTGCTTAGTAGGAATGGCTACCCAGACAAGTTTGTAACTAAGCACATGAATATTACGAGGGTTACGAAGACAATGCCAACAGTTCCTAAGAAGCAAGTCTTCTTGAAGCTGGAATTTAAGAGTGATACTGCCAGTGAGATCATCACACAACGCATAAAAAGAGTCTTGCATAAAGCATTCCCAGCCACTAAATTATGTCCCGCCTTCTACAACCGCCCGATTCTAGGTGCAAGAAATAAAGACAAACTGCCTGATTCTGCCACTTCTATGTGCATTTATCAATTCAACTGCTCTTGTGGAGCGAGTTACATTGGGCGTACAATGAGGCATTTCCTTCGTCGCATTTCTGAGCACCACCCATCATGGTTGAACAAGGGACAAATTAGAACTATAAAGAGCTCCATACTTGCACACTTAGTTGATACAGGCATCAAGTGGTTACTGGAAAAGCCTTCAAAATTATCCATCAGATTCCAATTAATTTACCTCATGGATTACGCACTCGGTTACTTCACATAGCAGAGATGATTGCAATCCACCTTTACAAACCTAGCCTTTGTATCCAAAAGAAGTTTGTTCGACCACTTTCATTACCATGGCCGTCAACATGATGTAACTTCTAGGTCTTCCTTGTACACCTCTTCCCCTTCTTGTTTCTATCAATATTCATATTTCTTATTTTAGTAACTCTATTGATTATTTACATCATTGTTTCCGAAACGTCACCACGTGATTGGTAATTTGATTAAATTGTAAACCCATATATTAGTGAAGAGCCCAAGATGAAGACCTGATTGAAAAGAAATATATTTCTTCGCTCAATCAGTCTTTTTTGTTTGTTTGCTTGAGATTTTGCTTTCACGACTATTTCCATATGTCTTAGTTGGCTATGTCAACAAAAACATTTGTGATGACTGAAATTAAATGGTATACAATATTATTGATTGACTAAAATAAATGAAATTGGAATAGTATAATGTTTTACGTTTCAAGAATGTGTAACTTTATACTTCAGAAAAGTGCTTAACAAAGAGCTTTTTCTGTAAAATGCTAAGGCGAGTCTAATAAAAAGAAATAATTTCTAGACCAAACTGATTTCAATTCTTGTAGAATTTCTATGTAGCCGGTGCGGGGAAAATAAAAATAATCAAAAGTCCAATTATATTCAGAATGTAGATAATAAACCAAAGATTCAAATGAACAGCTGACATAGTTTCCAACCTATGTGAAGTGAGTCTGAGTTAATGATGCATACTAATATGAATGCTAAGGCATTCACCTGGAAACAGTTCAGTTAACGTAAATGATCATTGAGGAGTTTCTTTTCGATTTGTTGTCCCAAACTGATTGATTAGGTTTGACATCAGTCAGCATAAAACGAAAAATTCGTCCGTCATCTGTGAAAGCATAAACAAAAACAGCTGAGGCACTCAAGTAAGTCGTCCTATGTTTAATGTAGACTGACAGACTAGGTTCTCTACAAATAAGAATTAAGATATTTCATTAACAACATAGCAGTAGCCTTCGTGATAATTTTGAATAGTTTTATACTGGGTGATGATTGGAAGTGTAACGAAAATTTGGGCGAGGCCGGATCCGAATCAGCGACCTTAGGGTAATCGATGCTCTACCAAATGAGCTACGAGACTCAGTTGCTGACCAGATTTTAATTCAATCTTCAGTTTTCATGCAGTATGAGCATAAGTCTGCTAGACCATCGCTATCTTAGATGATCAAACTAACAACCAAACACTCATCTTGGTGACTAGCAGAGGAATCCAGGTTGCACGTTTCATCCTACTTGAAACTAGTCAGGTGGATATATGTGCACCTCAGTGAGTGATGCTATTCCTATTGAGGCTCGAACTCAGTGCCCATCGCTTCAAACGCCAGAGCGTTACCCACTAAGCCACTGGGTCTTAATGGTCGCCTCTGGCGTGACGGGTATAATACTTGTAGTGTTCCGTTGCTATACAGAGCCAAATTGCTGGATCTCCGTTAGCCAATAGGCTCCTATGAGGATGATTCGATACTGCTGTTTATTCATGTTAATAAATTGATCGTAATGATAGCAGAAGAATAATAAGCAGTATCAAAACATCTGCATACGAGCTCATCTGCCAAAAGAGGTCAAGCGATTCGGCTTTGTATGGCAGCACAAAATTACAGGTATAATAACAACAACAGTAACTGAACAACTTTAACAGCTTATTCCCACTAAAGATGTCTTGTATACACAAATTAATGTTGGGAGCAAATAATTTCATACCGGATTTCATATGGAAAATCAATAAACGTACATATTACAGGATGCTGAAAAAAGATTAGCCGGTGAAATTCTGTTTTGTTTGGCATTAATCCCCTTTAGGATATGACCAGTGTGTATATAGTTTAGAATATTCACTGAGTCAATAAGAAGTCAATGACATTTCAACCATTCTTTCTGTACATAATAAATCCCTCAGTAATGTCTGTTATCAGTTAGGCATTTGAATGGTGCCATGTTAGATGTTAATTGACTGATGGTAAACACATCAGGTTATGGTTGCTCACTACATTGTGCATTGCAATTTATGTATTATGTTACACTGAAAATTTAAGTAATATTTCGCAACCCACATTTTTAATATATCTCATACACCATTTACCCTTACATCTTTCATTTGGTTCCTATTGTTTTTAGATTGCTGAACATCAGTCAATGAAACAGAGACAAGCTCAAAATGAAGCAGCTAGATTAAAATTTCTACGTGATATGCATGCAAAACAATCGCGTATAGATATGGCTCGATTGAAAGAATCACAAGATTTATATCTTTCTGAAGTTAAGCAGAAGAGGTTATTCAATCAACTGGAGAAAGATAGACTAGCCAATGAACGTGAAATTAGACTAGAGAATCTAAGAAGAAAGGTAATATCTGCTGATATGAGTTTTCATTCCATCAGCTATCTACTCCTTAGAAATGCGATAGCACATTTTAGAAACCGAAGTGTGCACATTCTGCAGTAACTACAGTTTAAGAGAACCTATCTTCTATTCAAGAACAAGTAAAGCAGAAACTTGTGAATAAAGTACTTTGTTTTGGGATGAGTTGTGTACTGCAGGTTCTCAGTAAAATGTTTATAAGGGTCAACTTGTGTAACCTTTAAGTGGTATGTCACTGACACTCGATTATTGCCCAGATTTATCTGCCAACAGCATTTCTGTGATTACGAATGAGATTGTCAGGCGAGTTTTGATAGGAAAACGTGTAACTGCTAACTTAGTCATCCGTTACAGCCGCATTTCCCTTGTAGTGTCCGGTAATTTAGCTTGCTAGTTAGATTCTTTGAACGATGCAAGAACAACGACATTTGTACAATAAAATGAGCTCATTTTATTTCATGGCCTTTAATCATCTGCAAACAGCCCAAAAATGAAATGAATCATTAGTAGTAATAATAACACAACATACTTTAAACAAGCAGAAATATGTGGAGATATAAAATTCAGGTGTAACAATAAAGTAGTAAGTCGGGGAAGCACAGGTCTGCACTGCTGAGAAGTCTCTTACTAGGACGAAACGATTGTCCAGTGCTTCCAGGTTTCCAGTGTCCCTCCATCTGATGTCAGTCCACGATGAATACCAACTTGAAAAAAGTCTTGAAAATCCTCACAAAACATAAATTCAGTTGGACTAGTTCTCATGGGTGACTACCTTCAAGAGGTGATTCCCGAAGTTGCAATGAGAAGTCGTGACCAGTGGGGCAAACCTGGTGGCCATGAGGAGTAATACTCATCAACGACATTGGATGGCGGTCGCACTATGTCGCGAACTGACAGAAGTTGGAAATATGGACCACTGGATTTCAACCCAGTAGCTCAATGGTAACGTGCTAGACACGGAACCTAAAAATCGACAGTTAGATTGCTGCCAGACTCGTGGGTGCGCACTGCTGAGGAGTCTCATACTAGGACGAAACAGCTATCCGGTGCTTCCAGGTTTCTAATGTTTTCCTAACTGATGTCAGTCAACTATAAATGTCAACTTTTAAAAAATCTCTGAAATCTCCACAAACCCCAAAATTTAACTGGATTAATAGTTACATATTTTAGTAAAAATCCATGGCCATTTCTATCTGAGATGGAGAATCCTGGAGCTGTGGAGTAGGGGAAAAACAAACGAAAATCAGCGTAAGAAATGAACTATTTAGGGCTAATAGGTTACGTAATCGCATGAAAGTCGTTAAGTGATTAATATTCAGTAATTCATGAAGAGATGATGTAATAAATCTTGTACGTGAGTAGAATTCGGATGCACACTATGGTAAAATACAATTTCATTTTAGTTGGTTATATATATATATATATATACAATAATATATATATATATATATATATATATATATATATATATATAACACAATGAAATAGTATTTATGGGAGAGATTTTTGAACACGATTCATTGTCCATAGTCATATAAAGGTCTTGATCTTTATTTTTAGATTTGAATGCTAGACATCGAACTAGATTTATGTTAAGGCTACGATATTTGCGTTCATGAGTACCTGGGAATTCCTACCGTGATCAACTTCATTTGACCCCCAAAATTGCTTCACTGCGTGATGCATATGAAAAGAAGCAGAATATATATATATATATATACGTAGCTATTATTTGTCGCTTGGGTTCTTAGTGGAACATAGGGCTTCAGTAGCACGGCTTCATTGCACTCTGTTCTCTGCGGTCTTTTGAACCTGCCTCCACGTCTTCTGACAAGCTTTCATTTCTTCCACACATGATCTCCATATACAAATATAAACTTAAAAATTTCTCGAAACAGATATACTGAAAGATTATTCAATATTAGTTCACTAGGTCACAATGAAACCTAGTAACGTGAAGTCACAGTAAGCGGCTTTTGAAGAATAAGGGAGGAAGATATAGATAAAATATACTCACTAACCACATACACTTTGATGCAGTTGGCAATAAACCACACCTACTGAATGTGTGCTAATGATATCACCTGGCTGCCGGAATCTCAGTAGATGGAGCGAAGTTTGAGCCTGCAAAACACTGATTGAAAGTCAACTACTTAGGGCAAATTAGCCACAGCTCCACAGAATGAGGGAATTATTAGCTTTTTATTAACTTTTTCCGTAAGTAATATTCTGACTGTAGTTTCAACTATAATGCTTTCAGATATTCATTAAAGACGAGTTTGTTTCACCTACCATATTTGTAACTGAGTTTTGTGAAGTACTGAAAGGCGAATATAATCTCTACTATGTGACCAGTATTCATTAGATACGACTGTGTAAATGTAGCGGTATTCTGGTTTCCTTCCCTGTTTTAGTGAACCTTAAAATGTCATTAAGCAAGCTGTGATGATAACCTTATTGTTAATTGGAATTTCTAAATGCCCACTGATGTGAACAAGTGAAGAATTCCATCTCTCAACTATAATGGTAAGGCGAAACTGGTTTCTAAGACTCACTGTATAAAGGTAACCACGAATAACTTCTTTTTATGAGATCGTCTCAATCTGCTCATGAAGATTTCGACTGTATTACCTTCTTGAAATTTAAGAGTCAGAAATAATTGTTCATTATTGCAACCAGTTTATCAGTGATGTTTGACAAAAGTTTTCAACAATCTCTGTCAATAGTTTTCAAAAGTTATAAAAAATTCTTTCACCACTGTAACATACGAAAATGTTGTCCCAGGTGTATCATTTAAGCGTGAATAAATTTCACTTATGTCACAATGAAACGAACCTACTGAGTTTAATATAATTATGCCTTCTAAGATGATTTCCTGCCCGTGTTTTTATAATATCTGATTGAAAAGAAATTTGAGGAAACTCCACCTAAATTACTTAAATAGACTTTACAAGTCAACCCTTAGAGTTTCTAGGTTATTTACATCATTGTGCTCATTGAACAACATAAAAGTGTGATATTCTCGAAACGTTTGCTTATTAATCTGTTCATGGAGAGGTTGATAACTCTTTTTCAAAGTATAAAAGAAAGAACCATTTTATCCATTTCGTCACAGAAACTGATTCTGTGGTTCAGCATGGTATATATTACTTTCAACTAATAAATGAGAAGCAAATAATCAGGTTATATATTGTGATGACTCCACGGGAACAGTCAGTCATCTCTAATGATGGGACACTCCTAATCGTAAGCGTTGCATCTAAGAATACATTCTCTTTTTCCAGTATATATCTTGTTTAATCCTAGTACAGTTTATAACTCTTTAACCCTAGGTTCGACCGAATGTGTTACCAAATCCCAGTCGATCAACTTCTGAAACTGAAGTAAGTGGACGATAATTTTTTATAGAACAGGTATCTTCACACCATATATAGACATACTTTGTAGTAAGTACGAGTAAATATTAGCATCAAGCCTCTCTTTTCCTAAGTTAGAGCGAAAGTGTTAAGCCGTAAACATCTCAGCTGATATCATAAGGCATTTATTCTTACAGAAGAATGTTTTATCTTTTACTGTTCACTAACTATTTATTGTATTGTCCCGATATTTACAACTAACACTTCAAAAAAGAGGGTGATTTAGTTTGCATATTTGGTGTGTTCTCCAGTTTCTTTTAGAATACTTTCCACGGAATAAACCTCAAAATTTTCATCTCTGGGCTTTTTGGAAAGGATCCTACAAACTCACTTCAAGTGAACTTTCAAAATTCAAATTAATTAATTATCCCTCTTTTAGAATCAAAACTTCCCTGTTTAGAAAACTTTACTGAGAATATCGGTTGAGCATGCAAACGATAATAGTTGTTTTACGAATGATTCGGAAATGGTTTTATGAAACAGTATACGTAATAAAGGAACTTTTTCTAAAGTAAATTGAACGAATAAATAAAAATGAGTTGGTTAGTGAGCATACATGCCTCAGCTTAGTTGCTAGGAAAATTAATATAACTATGTTCAATTGAATAATCTCCCGAGTTTACTAGTTGATGAGATGCTAGCCGGTCCTAGGCCCGGATAAAGAAGAAACGCTGGGCATAGGGATACAAACCCCACTCCAGAAAACCAATCTAACCGATAAAGAAACTCCAAACCAAACCGTTAATATAAAAAATAAACTAATTCCTCGCTTGAATCGGAGAGACGAAATGACGCCGCTTGCTGAAAGCCCTCGAGAAGCCAATTTCCCGATATATCTCTTCTCTCAATCAAAGGAAATGTAAGCATGGGGACACTGAATGTCCACACAGTGTTTGAAGCTGGCTGGCAAGGCTGCACAGACTGCAAAAGAGATGAGAAGGTATGGTATAGTAGTGGAAGGCTGGCAATATTTGTAAGTAGATGGAATGCAAGTGGACTCTCCAATCTGTCAACTGGAGAGGAGTCAATAATATACTCCAATATTGTCACACAGACGACATGACAACCACCAGCATACTGAGTTGTGGAGTCGTTATCATGATGTCCCCAACAGCATCAAATGCTCTCAGACAATGAGAACCAATCTCCTCCTGCAGGATCAGGATCATGACAGCAGTATTCAAATCAAAAAGAAGGAAATTCACAAACACTCAATGCCAATACAACACACCTACGAATAATGCAGACCAAGAGAAGAAGAAGGAATTCTGCAGATAACTGAAATCAGTAATGGACAAGACTCCACACCAGATGGTGACATCAAAATTGATGAGTGTGAAAATGGGAGCAGACAACAAAGGAAGAGAACTCATCGTGGGTCGGGGCGAGAGGCACTCGCTGAAATGATGAATGAGAATGGAGTACTGTTTGCTGACTTCTGCGCATTCAACGCCTTGGTGAATGTATGTAGTGTGTGCAAAACACAGGGATATTCACAATGCGGGGACATGGATTTGAGTTTATCAGATGGACACACTAAATATCAGATCGAGTTCAATTTAATGTGAAGAAAGTGGAGATGGGAGGCAGCCTACTGGACACAAGATGAAGAAGGAGAGCAGTTGTAGGTTCACACCACTCACTGACTAGTGCAAGGAATTTGCTTTCAAAATCAGATTGAAAGCCTTCAAATCAAAAAAGCTGGTGATGATAGACCACAGTTCAAGTTCAACGACCACCGAGAACAGAAACTGAACTGAAGGACGAAACTACAAAGCACATCTTCACGTGAGCCATCATGACAAATAAACTTGGGAGACATTAGGCAACATCCCCGAGGAAACCTGCATGGAAGAACACTGGAAATCTGTGAAAACTATGTGGAAGGAAACCTGCATAACCGTGTTGGCAAGGAAGAAAAAAGATGACAAAGAATGGATCTCCACGGAGATATGGGAGCTGATAGAGGAGGGAGAGGAGTATGGTGATGGTGAAAGAGAAGATGAACCAGTGGAGTACAGTGCAGTGCAGTGCAGTGCGGGGATGAACAGTGAACCAAGGAACTGAATGCAACCTATAAAACACAATACTGGTCAAAGAAGTGAAGAAGAGTGCATGGAGAGATAAAAGAAACTTCTAAGTCACACTGGCAAGTGAAACAGAACAGGCTGCAGGTAGGAGAGATACAGACCTAACGACACCATATTAAATTACCACGTTACTATCTGCGAAGACATCAACGCAGACGAAACTAATAAATGATTGTGAAGGAAACTATGCTACGAAAGAAGAGAAAGAAAGAGGAAAATGAGCTGACCACTTCAAAAGACTCTTGAATCAACCATCACCAACAAGATGACCTGCAACTCGTCCAGAAATATCATCAGCAGTCCAGCTACACAACTATCAGTGAACACAAACCCTCGAACAAAAGCCAAAGTGAAATCCTGAAGGCCAAAATGTTGTTGAAAGTCAGGAAAGCAGTAGAACCAGATGGAATTCCTCCAGAAGCACTGGAAACAGATGCAGAGACAACAGCGGACATGCTCACACCACTACTGCAGAAGGTTTGCAGAGTAGGGAATACAGAAACATACCTGGTGATTAAGAGAAGGACCACCACGTCAAATTTTGAAAGGAGGGAGACCTAAGTGTTTGTAAGAACATGAGCTAGCACGGAATCATGCTGCTGTCCCTGTCACATCAAGAAAAGTATTGAGACGCGTCATGTGCTGATCAAATTGCGGCTATACGCCAAGCATTATCATCATAGAACAGAGTATAGAATAGTAGTCAACTCTTCACCTCAACTCCATCGACTTTGAAAAGGCCCTCAATCGAGGCGTCGATCGAGAAGTAATTTGGCAGGCAGCTGCTTCAACACTACTCCATTAGTGCCACAGACCTTCATCAATCTCATTCAATAGCTACTTGAAGACACCACATGCCAAGTGATTCACAATGCAAATTTCAGTGATGCCTTTGAAGTGAAGACAGGAGTAAGACAAGGTTGCCTACTATCACCCATGATCTTCCTGATTCTGGTCGATTGGACTGAACTGGATCATGCAACAAACTGTAGGGAACGAGAAGACGGGCATACACTGTTTGACACCTGAAAATAAACTAGAAGATTTGGATTTCGTCGATGATGACTTATGTTGAATGTCGCACAAACTCGATAATCTACAGGCGAAAACTAACAATTTGATAGAGAATGGGCAAGGCAGCAATGGAAGACGGAACTGACTTCAGGTGAACGTGGAGAAGACAGAGGTGATGAAGATACCCAACCAACAACAACATCAACCACATGAATCACCAACCACCATGAACGGGAGAAATCTGAAGGAAGTAGTCTCTTTCACCTACCTAGGCAGCATCGTTACAACTACAGGTGGCACAGATGAGGGCGTAAAAGCCAGGATCGGAAAAGCAAGACAGGCCTTTATTAACTTGAAACCGGTGTGGAAATGGACTCCACTCCCCTCAGCATAAAGCGTGAACAAGATCCTGATTTTCAACCCTATTTCCGTCAAGTCAGTGTTTCTATGTGATGGTTGAGAGACTTGGTGAGTTACGAAAAGCATTTCCAACAAACTACAGACATTCATCAACATCTGCAGCCTACACTTCCTCGATACTGACACTGGGGATCAGATGAATTGCCAGAAAGAATAAGAAACAAGAAACTCTGACTGCAACGAAGCAACCAAGAACCTGTCACTTAACAAATGTGCAGAATAAAGTGGAGATGGATTGGGCATACACTGAGAAGGCCATTTGAAGACATCACACATGAGGCCAGGTTCTCTGGTGGAACCCAAAAGAAGAAATGATGAGTTGGGTATCCAAGGCGAGGGTGACGTGGAGGAGATCATGTGAGGAAGAAGTGAAAGCTTGTAGGCAGTCATGGAGCCAGGTTGAAAGAGTGCAGAGAACAGAGTGCAATGAAGACGTGCTACTTAAGCCCCGTGTTCTACTAGGAACCTAAAGGACAGGTAATAAATAATATTTTTAACTGAATGTCAGTACGCTTGCCATGAAAACTTCTGGTTCGGTGCTCACTTCCGTATAGCTTTTAGACAATTAGAAAACAACACATAGGATGTGATATTTATTCTGGATTTTATTGTTTTTCAAGAGACCATTCATAATTGGTGAAAACTGTGTCTAAGATAACTATGTAAAGTATCACTGGGTTGCCTTATGTAATTGATGCGTCTCTGCATATCGGAAAAAAGGAAGTATATGAATTATTGCAAACATTTATTAGTTAACTCTCAGTCGACACACAGGAATAGTATAATGTTATTGATTGATATCTAAGATTCTCAAAATGCTAATGAGTATTCTGAACAATAAGGGAATTGAAGAAAAAAGACTTGTTCGATGAAGGTACAAAGGATAAGAAATACTTTAGAGTAGAAATTTGAAAGTGAACTTGATTCATCAAACAAACAGGAAAAGAAGTAGAATTTAGCATGAACTACTGAATTTAATGGAAATTAGAGGTTTGTTGATGTCTTCATAATCTTTTTAAGGATATAATACAAAATACATTAGAGTAGATATTTAAACGTGTAATATTTTTAACAAGAAGCAGTTATCGTTTGCAGTAAACGGTAGATAATGTATTCGAGTGATACTAAGCCAAGAGATTAGACAATGCAGTGCATTTTTAACAGGTTGGTCGAAAATAGATTATATGGAACTTATTATTATGCTGTAATCAGATGCTGTTTTTTTCAAATCATACTGGATTTTAGTTAAAGTTTGAATTTAACAACAGGAAAGGTTTAACAAAAACTACCTATCCCATAAACACAGTTAAATTGACTTACTGTTCGCCTTCAATACCACATAGTCTACAATGATGGTGTCGCAAAAAGGTCAGACTACTGATTACAGAAAACATCCGAGGAGATATGATGAGGAACTGATCATCAGAAAACAGACCGTCTTTCTAGAATAAAATAGAGACCAATAACTCGATGGTATTTTTAACTATAACTTAAGATTGTATTGGAGTTATAACGGTTATTTCAAAAGTTTCTGTAACTATTAGGCTGAAGAAAAGGCTTTAAATTTCTGAAGCAAAACAAGGATGGTTTTTGTAGAAAATTGGTTTTTCTGTTTCATGTCCGGAGGTTTGAAATCACTATCAGTAACTCTTGTCAGTTTCCACATAGCAGTTTGAATTATTTCTTGGGTTAAGGGAATGTTTAAATTGGATGCCTGCTTGAATAATTTCATTGGCGTTTGCATAGAAATAGAAAGTCGACCTATTCAACAACTCAACGCCGAAAACACAATGCAATCAAAACCATTCGCCTGAATTATAAATATTCTCTACCATTTCAAAATCGACTTATTGCCTTGTTATTTGACTCTAAACTCTGAAGTCTTTCACACAAATTCCTGCTGTAAATTAAGACCAAATACTGTTGTACACGATCTACGGTGCCTTGAACTGCAAACTACTGTATACGAGTTTCAGTACGGAAAAGAAAACATGCTAGCTGTAGTATACAGGTATTTTAGGCTGAATTTAGAATAAAGAGATAGTGGTGTACTACCGAGATTGGTCGCAATAAAGAAAGATAATAGGTGTTCAAAACTTACTTCCTAAGGATAACTTTTAAGGGATAAATATTGTTTCAAGAATGTCTTGTAAATTATCACTTATTATATAGTATCTGTTTACTAGATAGATGGGTTTGTGTTTCCATGTTTATAAAATACTGTTATATTTAAACCTTCATATTTTAATCAGTTCACTGAGAACAAGGTTCCTTAAAAAGTGATTGTGAAAGTACAGAAGACAGAAAGCTTAGATCTATGCAGAACATACTGAAGTGTTTTATTGATTGAGGTGCAGATAAGAGAGTGTCTTGTTGTACACTAGTCAATATTATCTTAGAACTATTTGAATGTGAACAAATCTATTTAAAAGGCGTAATTTATTTTGAATACTGGGGTTATTGCTGAACAAAAGTGTATTGTTTCTTTTATTATTTAGTCCTGGCGGTTGAAAATAGATGAACACCTTCAAAGTAATGAAAATACATCAGAAACACAAGTATCTTATGCCAGTGATTATAACAGATTTGGAACAAAGTTATACACTTTTACAAATGCTCAATTGTGTGCTGATCACCGTACACGACTGACTGCAGCTTTACATTCTGCTGGTGTGTTGGACTCAGATTATGCAAGAATATTATTATCAAATATATCCTCTAATCGCCAGACACGTAAAGATACAATGACATCGAAGGAATTTCGTGAAGCAATAAACGACAGTCTACATGATTCATCTGCAAACTCCAACTAAAAGTATATATATTTGTATACGTGCCAAAATACCAGTTCCAAATTACATACGGTTATTCCTAGTTGTCAAATATAGTGAATTTTATGTGTATTAAATTGCTTTTAATGTATACTTTGAGCTTCATTAACACTAACACTGAGGATCATAAGATTCTGACACAGTGGAAGAATGAAAATGTGATCTATGCTAGACCTGAAGATTGTGGGTTGGAAGTTATGTTGGGTCGTATGTGTGCACCGCTGAGAAATGTTATACTAGACCAAAATGGCTGTTCAGTACTCTTATGTTTTTAATGGTTCCCAGACTGATGTCAGTCGGTTATGATGTTTCAGGGCTGGTCTGAAACAACTCTAAGTTTAAAGATTGGGAGCGAATCGGTGGAATGCGTCGATCGCTTCACTTACTTGGGGAGTTATATAAACTGGTTTCTGAAAAACTGTCAGCTCTAATACGGAAGGTCCATTTGGCATTTACCAAATTCTCATCTGGTGAACCAGCTAGTGGCCGTTAATCAGTGGCGAGTTTATTAAGCTGCATTTTCTTCTGTCCTGTCATATGCTTGTGAGATATAGCTTTTCAAAGTAGAAGATTTGAAGTGTCTTTGATCAGGGAGCTCTTCATAGTATTGCTCGTGTTTGGTGGAAACACTATATGAGCAATATTGAGATCAGGTAAAGGATTATTGCGTAAGAAGCCAAATCAATAGATGGGATTATGAACCTTCAGTGACTGAGGTGGCTTGGAAATGTGCATGCTGATTAACTGCATACTTGAACATTCAATGCCTGCGGATGCTGTATTAGGGTGGAAGAGGCTTCAACATGGGTCTGGTACCAGTCCGCAAAGTCCCTGACTGTTGGTCTTTGCTTTACGGGGAGATGTAGACTACCTGACTTTGGTCCTTTAGACAATAGGATTCAGTGACTGAGGTCTCTTCGTGACATGGCTGAAAATCATCTGTCACAATATCGCAGATCTATCCGCTCTTTGACCTTATCGAAAGCCTGAATATTTACAGTCACCTTTATCTTTTACTTGTTTATCCTCTAACACGACTCTATCTGATATTTATTTTTGATATGCTTGTTCTTTGTTTACTAAGGTGATGCGTGGTGACCTGAACCGATGAATTTGTGTGGCAGCTTCTACATTGATTTCGCTTGCCTAATCCATGATGAATAGCATCAGGAAATTTCTAAATTGTTCTACTTAGAGTCTAATGGCATTCAAAATCCGAGCAAATTAAGCTTTTAATCACCAGAAGTTTGAGAAAATATTCATTTGAATATCTTAAGCACGTATTTCATCCTATAACAGAACCAACTCACTGATTTTGCTTATTAAAGGTAGTGAAATCAGTAACCAGTAACAAGTAGTAATTGACTAAAGCTGAGACGCAGTTTCACTCTGTCTAAATTCCCCTGAACACTTCAGCAAGCTCTAAAAGCTAGTTTTATTTTCTATAATCACAGGATAAATGACATGCTTAAAATACTCTAGTTACTCGATAACTGGCATACTATAGAGCCATGGAGGATCAAACTGTTCCTTGGTCTAAAAAGATTCATTCTTTTACATGATATTGAAAAAATGATAAGATTATGGTGTTAGGTAGTCATTAGACTTTGGCATTTTGTAATTTCGAAACAAACTGCTTAGCAGTTTGTTAACTATTTCATTGGCTTAGCCTTCACTTGACATGCTATCATCACAGTGGAGATTAAATTTCGGCGCATTATTCAGGCATTAAGAACAAGAAGCAGGTTAGGAAGAGCGGTGTTCTGTAAAGATTCATATCTGGAAACGCTTCACTTTCTTCAAAACTAAAAATTATTGTATCATGCAGCATACAAACCAGAGATTCACTTTTTTTGACAGTTACTTGGGAGTGATTCAGCAAACCTTTAAAATGTTATGAGGTCAGTCAGTCAACTATATCAAATGTGTTTCTTGGACAAGCAGATAGGAAATAAGTGTTTTTGTGATATTATTCATAAATATTTGAAATATGTTAGGCCAAGAGTTCTGTAAAACAAACAACCCAAAACTTCTACACTCATACGTAAAATATGTAAATATAAAACTAATCAGTAACCTCAATTGTCATTTATAACTTCCTTGATCTTTGAACGGAAGAACTTTCGGAAACACTTGGGATTCTATAGAGTCTCATAAGCTGGTTATTTCGTACTAACAAAGTATGAGATGTTTTGAGTATACCGAACTTTGGCATTGATGGTTTTCACCAAGTATGGCCACTTCACAGAGTGAAATAGCTACGTGCTACTGAAGTCTTATGTTGCATTAGGAACCCAAAGGACAAATAATAATAACCAAGTATGGCACTTTTATTTAGTTTGTAGACTTTCACACAGTTTATAATTTTGGTGAATTACCGATAACTGAGTTAAGACTGTTGTGCGTAAATATGACTTGCACTCTATGTACAAACTGTATGGAGAAGTTTAGCAATTATCATCTCATTTCGAGATTTTGTTATCCAGCAGGAACGTTATATGGAAAATAAAATGTGATTGTTACCCACAGAGATCCCATACCATTATTTCCCTTTGCAAATCTCAGCATAACAGTAACATTAAAGTTAGCAAAATAGTACAAATTTATGGTGTTTCATCCCTCTTTTGGGAATTGTTAACAGATTATTTGATTATTAGATGTAGACATACAATTGCTATCCTCATTCTTTAATGATTCATAGAAAGATAGTTCATCAATGCTATAAATCAGATCATGTTTTATAGCCACATTGTTGTTCTCCCACATTTGACAAATCAAAAACTGAATAAGAAGTTTGAAACAGTTAGTCCTTTTGGTGAATTTCTATGATGTTACGAGAAGATGTAGATTATCTCGGTTTTGTCTAAACCAAATTAGGAAGAGAAAATGGAAACTGATAATGAAATCAATATGAATAACTGCTGCACCAGTGCAGGAATCGACAAAAGTGGAAATACGTGCTCATCAGGAGGCCTGCGGATCCTGCAGGTATTTGACATCAGTCAGATATAATAGATGTCACTGCGTGACAGAAACAACTCTGAAACAGATTAATCTTTATAAATCACCTTGTGAATTATTCAGTGTGTTTATGAAATTACTCCTCAACGTTCCTCTGTGTCCTCGCAATTTACGTGTCCTGACAGGTACATGTTTATTGGGAAATACAATTTCATAGTAGTCGGATACCTATTGATCTTCATTAGTTTTGGGGACGCTTTCTTTTGCACAAGAAGATTAACGTAGCTACTGATGAAGTGGTCTTTGTGACAGTTCTTATTATTCTGTTATCTCTGATACATGTTGGTCTACAATGAAAGTAAAAGAGAGAAACAGAGTTTTCCATGAATGACTCCGCTTAATTGTTTCTGTAGTACAAACTTTAAATGTATTGAAAAGTTCAGTCAGTAATCACCTTTTTTTAGATAATTTTTCGGTGAATTGACACTTTTCAATCAGATCAGTCTATGAGTAAAGTATTTTAGTCCTATGAAATGACATTCTTTCTAGTTTACGCATGAAGCCAATGGGACAAGGATTACTGAAATGAACATATAGTCTCTTTTAGGTTACACTCCCTCATAAATATTAGACCCAGATACAACGAACTCACTGATCTTAAATTGAAACAAATGAGATATCAAAAATTCACTGACTTTTGCTAGAATTCTGATATAAACTTCATCCAAATAAGAGTTGCTTTATGTTAAGAAAATAAATTTCCACCTCCTTCTTGTGAAATAAATAGTGAATTTATCTCCTATTCGCACGTGAGAAAGTATCACCGCTGCATGTTTCCCGCCTCCAATAAAGTGAGGATGATCATTTGTTTATACTTATGCATCATCGAAGCCGAACCAGGCACTTCGAAAGGAACAGTATTCCTCCTCAGATCGTCTCCAAAGGTGATAAATAGTAACGTGATCTATGTGTGCACCATTTTCCTGGTTTCAGCGTGTTCCGTTCAAGAGCCCAATAACATAACTAAAATGGCGAGTCCGTGAGTAAAACGCTTTGGACCTTCAGGTACTTACATGGTGATCTTCACAGATTCATCACATACCCAGTGAGATCCAGTTAATCGCAACGGTTAGACCACTTATTAGTATCTAACCGCACAGAATACATCCATCGCTCTAGATTCCAGATTTTGCCAACTGAAGCTTGTGAAATAGTCGATATAACGTTTGGACAATGAAAGATTCGACGTGAAATTTGCAGCATCACCTTTAGAATTTAACCACTAGAGATTGTTAGCAACTCTTTCCTTGTGAAAAGGTGAGGAAACTGCTGGGGACGTGCTGCTTTCTGGTTACAAACGATCTTTTGAGGGGATTTCGGCTTAAATTCCTATATCACTTTTACTGGATAACAATAGGTTGTAAGAGGGTTTATTATTCGCAGTATCAGACGTCACTAATTTCATCTTTCGATTAGGAATGAATAATGGTCATCCATGAAAAACACCTTAGATTTGTCAAACCTTCTGATGCTAGGAGTATAATTTTGCCAGTGTACCTCGCCAAATTTGCTCTTCTTATTTATACTGTGATGGTAACTTGATTGAGTTTTATCTCTATCCAAAAACCTCCACAGCATAGCAGCCATAAAGTAACATTTACTTTGGCACACATTGTTTATTAGGTCATAATGAGAGGCAAGCTGGGCAGCCCCATCAAGGTAGAACGTATCGGGTCATGTAGCTGAATATTTACGTGGTCGAAACAATAAAAATGATTAGGTCAGAAATAAAAATTGAAAAATCTTGATTAATAACAATTTATCATCAATATGGGATTAAAGACAATGTTATTCGGCTAGTGCCTACAGATGTATCACTTCTCCAGGGAGGAAATCTTAAAGATCATGTAACAATGACTTGAGAAGACAGCAGATATGGATCAGATTTGAAATGAGTGGTTATCACGATGCACTTTTCTTGATTTATCTATTATCATCAATTTAAACGAAATTACTGAGTTCCTCCTTCCACACACGTTAAAGGCTGCTTCTGTAACAAATTACCTGTGTTTCATTCCATTTTCTTCCTTATTTTGTGTCTTCTTAGTGTTACTTACAAGTTCGTATGGCGCGTCTTTTGGGCTCTATGCTGTAATGAGTTTGTGTTCCACACTATATAAAGTAATAAACTGATATTTTACTGGTGCATCATTCCAATTAGCCAGTTACGTAGTTTGTTTTCTGAAGGCTATTGACTCTGATTATTGGGGATTATTTTAGATCACATTTTGTGCATCGAATTCTTGTTGAACGGATAACGATAAGTTGCAATACTTTCTTGAGATAAGTGGAAAACGTTGTCTAGGTTACTTAAGCTAACAACATTTTCTCTTCATGGATTATGAACTAGGTCATTTGTTCAACCTTCCATCACTTTGAAATACCATTATGATTCTACGTTTCAATCGGTCTCAAGTATTATGTTAACGCCATCTTTTCAAACTTGATTGTAAAGATACTGACCGCTTTCTTTCTTTGCATATTTACATAGTCTCAAAGAAGTCTTAGCTTCATATTTTCTTATTTAACTTTAAAGTTCACACTTGAGTTGACTTGAATTTATTGTGTGGAAGCCCAAATCAGTATGGGTTTCAAGGTTTCTCATATTTGTCAGCTAGGTAGTTCAACCAGTTCAAAGAAATTGATCCCTTTTTTGTATACGAACAATTTGACTTAGCAGCGCAGTTAAAGACAATACTACCATTCTCTAGAAAAAAAATTTCTTGTCAGACTTTTCGACTTTATCAGAAGAAACAATCAGGACTATGCCGTGTTCTCCTCAGTATTTATCAGAGAACTTGTCTGCAAGGTTGAGGGAACTGGTATTTGCAAAGAGACTTGGATATCCGTTACTCTCTAGCGGAGCTGGTGAACTCACTAGTCAGCTTTTACGACCACGAATGATTTTTGCGATGAATTGAATCATGCTCATGAATTTGCTTCCGGTCAGTACAGACTATGGTTTCTAATTCCTATAACATTTTTGACTAGTCGAAACGTATGTATAGACTAAACGGAACTACGTAAAACTGTATGATATTCACTCGTTAATCAATTACGTTTGACTTAAACAGTTTGTAGTTGCTTTTTAACGAAAGAATTCCAAGCTAACGTCTATTCCTAAGAATGCTTTTTTAAGACCATTATTAATTACATTACATAAGTGAATCGGTTACAGTCATTTAGAAAATTAACAATGATTAATGAGTTCAGATATGTCCTTATCAGTACTATTTTATTTACTGGATAGGATTGTTTGTTTAAGGCCTAGTAGAAAGCTGTACTTCATTGTATGCTGTTATGTAATTGTTCAGTTTAAACATTTACCTAGTTGGGTTTTCAGTCACAAGTCAATACCAGTTGAAAAGTTGTTAAGAATTATTACTAGTCATTTGGATCTAATCTAAGACTGATTAGCAATGAATCAACATTATTCATTATGTTTTCTAAATATAAAGCATTAACTTTGAGTTATTTCACTGAATCTACATCGGTTACACTTTCAACCAGTCAGGTAACTCTAACGTCTATTTTTCAACAATAGTTATCTAAATCCCAATTCATGGTAATCGAACATCACGAGAGGCTTCTATTATGTAGCAGGTTCTGATGCTCTGTTCTCATGAAGATCACAAATAAAAATCCACTACCACCACATATGTCATCCAATGTTTGGTGCCGCTGAAGTAATGACTAGTTAACTGAAGTCAATCTTGAATAACTAATCACCATTTCACATAAGGATAATGCATACTAGTAGTGATGGAGAATACTTATAGCTTACAGTGTGCTTGTTTAGAGTGATTATATCTTTGAGCTAGTATTTTGGCTAGCAAACTTTCCGAATTCACGTTAGATATCACCATCAGTCGATGAAAACTTCCTAAACAGACTTTGGAAAAAGGCGACTGTCTTAAACTAGTAGGGAAATAACCTTAGTTTTTCACGTTTCTAATGCAGAAAATCTTCTCTAAAGTTTATGAACACAGTGGCTTTTATGTCATTTCATCCTTCTAAGACACTCTAGATCGAGTTTTCTTCAGGTTTTGGTTGGTAAATTGCGCCTTCTGTCACCCCTGACGAATAATCTTTGCAGATGGTGTCTTTAAGAATAATTTGAATTTCCATCCCTCATTTTGTACTGCCATGAAGTTGGTTATGAATTTTGTCAGGGAATTTGAATATTTCAATAATCCGAAGGTCTATGTAAATTATACGCCGTTACGGTAGTGAATATACTGTTATCAAGTCACGAAGTTAAACTTTCGCTGTCAGGAAAATATATATTGTCCTAAGGTTCTTATTATATGTGAATGCGGACGTCAGCTTTCCTAGTTTCCATGACTTAAAGGCAGCATATCGACTACTAGGGAAAATGAGTCACTAGTTGTAAAAAAAGGTAGGAGTTTAAATACATTGGGAAATTGTAGATTTGATTATCAGGGATATATTCCTACTGTAGGGCTGTCTGTGACTGCAATATGAAATTAACACACTCACCCAATATTACCGAGATCTCACAATGTGGAATTTATCTAGGCAGATATCGAAATATGAAAGTCATATTGCTTTTGAGACCTATGCAGTCCAGATTAATCAGTCAGTCTGTGTGATTAACTTTCACTTCAAAGATATGCTTATCAACAAACTTAAGGTTTTTAATTGTAGTATACGAAAGGGTTACAAATGAAATGCCAATGACTCATTCAATAATTGACTATTTGTCTGAATAATTTGTAGAAAATTTTGCTGTGATTCATTAATGCAACACGGTTTACTTCACGAATGGAACAGTTCCAGTTTTTATGCACTACAACAAGCAGCTAGATACTATCAGTGCAAATAATGTACCCTAACTTTAGCAAATACTATCATACTGTTACGAAGTAAATAGGATCATCAAAAAACCTTTATGCTTTAGTAGACTCAGCAGTACAACTAAACACAAGTTCCTTGATAAATGACTAGAAGGTTGCATATTCTAATCTGAGAAAAATATATAAATATACTAATGTTTTCGTGAACAAATTGCTGTGAAAGTCCTGACACTTGACTTCATAAGAATGACATAAAACACGGTATGCAAAAGCTTTGTCACAAATCCTAATGGTTTGGTTTCGTCGCAGTTTCCTATATTTTCTAAAAATTACATAAGCGATTACACTAATCCCATCTACACTGTCTATTGCCAACGACTTTCATATGTATTTCTTGTGTATTAGGTTATTGAATCTTGGCAAATCAAAAACTCATTTCAATATAAAGAGGTTCTATCTTTGCTTAATGAAAATAACCAGTGGTAGTAGACATTTCTGGTAATACTAATTACACCTCGCTTTGTCATTATTGTCCTATCTTGAGATTTAAATAAACAGAATCAAGGTTTACTTTGTAAACATTCATAACCAAATAAATATGTACATACATTTACGTATGTATGTGTTTGTATTGAAAACAGCAAAAGAAATGCCTTCTGTAGTGAACAAGTACATAGTCATTAGCAATTTTTGGAAGATAAGACATCATTGAAATAACATGAATTAGTTTAAAGCAAGTTACATCTTTTGTTATGTACAAATATATTATCCTATTAACTGATAAATAGATGGAATGGAGAATTGTTCATTTTAAGTTAAAATGTCAACAATGCTAGCACTACAATTCATTTATGCAACACATTAACAGTACAAATTATCACTTTTGTGTATTGAAAAGCATAGAAACTTTGAAAATTTGAGAAATTATTTTCATTCTAGCTAATAAAGTCTGATATGAAGAAAATTGGAAAGGAAAATTAACTACTTTTAAAAATGATACAAAGTGAAAACAGAAATAAAATCTTTTTGATTCACTGAAGAATAAATTTTCATACTGAATACATAAATAAATAAATAATAAAATGTTCAAAATAGAGGAATACGAAAAGTTCAATGTTTAATTATTTGTGTATACCGCTGAATATTGAATTGATTACGCTACAAATTGTTTGAGTTAACGGAAATCTTTAAATTCACTTAATTTGGTAATATATGTATACTGTAACCAGATAGAATAGTAAGCGTCGGTATCAGTAGTAGTTTGCGGTGTCGACACAAAATGATCTAGCATTTTATGTAGATAATTCAAAGTTCTGGCTAGTTGACTTCATGGCTTTGAGTTGAATAATTTTAACTGGACAGTCATGCATTCGGGTTTTTGTTTATGTACGGTCAGAAGTAGCAGGAAGATTGTCAATAACAAATGATAGCTAATCATTCACCACAGAAAAACCTTGGGTCGGTCCTAAAAGAAAAGAAAATCTAATTACCGAATAAATTAGTGATAAAGTTGAAGAATACTATTTTTATTATTATTTGTCCCTTGGGTTCCTAGTGAAACATATGGCTTCAGTAGCACCTCTCCATTCCACTCTGTTCTCTGTAATCTTTTGAACCTGGCTCTACAACTGCCCACAAGCTCTCATTCCTTCCTCGCACGATCTCTTCCATGTCACCCTCGGACGCCCGAAGAATACTATGCTCTGCATATATTTGTCAGTCATGTATTGGTTAGTAAGGCTTCTAAACCATGTATTATACAAGCTGAAACAGTTTACAATGCTGAAACCAGTGCCTAACAAAATATATACCTTACATTTGGAAACCTAATATATTATTAGGTAAAAAGAGAATCATATTACGTCTAATAGCACCTCTAACTAAGATAAATCTGTATACAAAGGTTCTGGAAGGCAAAGCATTAAACATCTTAAAATTTTAAAGGAGAATATGTTTTAGATACGTAGATGATAGCTTTTCGTTATTTGTAATGGAGGTGGCAGAAGAAAGTTTTTTAGTACATCTTAACTATGATTCGAGTTTTTTGCGTGCTGTTGTTCAGTGAAGAAACTAAGAAGAATTCAGAGATACAATATATTGGAAATAACCACACATTGACAAACATTAGGATTGATTTTAGACTGGGATTGATCATGGATTGACATCAGTTGGAGGAAAACTGGAAATCTAGGAGATTTGGAAAGCTGTTCCGTTCTAGTATAGAACTACTTATCAGTGCGTACCCATGGCCTCGTCCCACCAGCGATCGAACCCAGGGCCTTCAGGTTCCGTGTTCAACACGTTACCACCAAGCCACTGGATCGGAATTCAGTGGTCCATATTTCTTACCTCCGTTACTTCACGATATAGTGGGCCTATATCAAGTTATTTGTTGAGTATCTGTCAAGTTCGACTTAGTTGACTCCACTGGTCACGACTTCCTATTGCAACTTCGGGAATCATCTCTCTGAGCTCTACATTAATTCTATTTTGAGGTTTTTAGAGATTTTATAATTGATTTAAGGTCGGAATTCATCAAGGGCTGATACCAGTTGAAAGAACATTGAAAACCTGTGAGCATTGGTTTCGTCCTGACATGGGACTCCTCAGTAGTGCACACATTAAAATTTCAAATGGTATCATCCAATGAAATGGAGACTCAAGTACTGTTGAACTTGGTAAATAAACTCCATAAAAACTACAATAAATTCCAATAGTAGGAAGTGTGGAAATTTTCAAAGTACAACAATTTCTCTTGAAAATGGATATCAAGTCAAACAAATAATACGCAACATTCATGAAAAATAAGATGACCGAAATATTATGTTTATCGACTGTGACGATACCATATTGCAAAGATAGTTCTGAGGAGATTCAATGATAAACTACTTATCATGATATTAGAGTCGATTTTAAACTTCTAAATTTGGCAGAAAAAGGCCCTAGTCAAAGCAAAAGATTGAGTTTCAGATATGGTATTGAACAACGGTACTTACAAGAATGAATATCTTGTATATGAGGTTAATTATAACGAAAACAGTTGTTGATTCGATGACTCAAAATGAACTCGAGAATTTAGAAAAATGACCTGCGCCAGCTATGTGGGAAAGCGAAAGTTGATTTGTTATTGATTTTGTAAATGTACAGTAAAAAACAGTAAGGCTAGAAGTTCCACATATCCTTACTGTATCTAATGCATTAAACCGAAGCAAATATAAAGATAAAGACATAAAGGTCACTTATATGCAAAAGCCTAATTAACCAATCGCTTAAGAGGATAATTTAAGATTCAACTTCTAATGAATGGCCATTATCTATAGTTCATATCCATGTTGAAGATCATCAATAAACGGATCTGTCTGATGCAGATATCTTATTACCGTGAGTCAGCATAGATCACGTAACAATATTAGCAGCATGCATCTACATACACCTCGATATTATTATCAATTTTTCAGAGAATAGTGGCAACATAATCAACATACGTAATTCATTAGGTTTCTCTGAACAATAAAAATTCACCTAAACAAGTTTATTTACCACAGTATTTGACCAAATATTTTAGTATTGAACAAAATTTAAGTAATTCTTCTTGAAAGGCTGTGGCAGACAACGAAATATTCACAAGAGTGTTCTCCTAATTTTCCAAACAATAAAGGGTTATATCTAAACAAGCTTGTATAATAAATACTGATAAACCTTACAATTTATTACAAGGATGACTTTAACAATCGATGCAGTTGAAAAACTCAATGTGTTAAAACCACTAAGGTTTTGTTACCTAAATAAGTGACCAGTTCAAAGACGTCAGTCACTTAGTATCAGCATATGATCCAGCAGTGCTGCGTGATGTTATTGGTTGACCTACCTTATAACAGAACAAGCTAGAAGAGAAAGGTAAAAGAGAGAAAACTTTCAAGGAGAGAAAAGTATTTTAGAGTCGTAAAAATTAATACGAAGAAATGAAGAGGGAGTGAAATGAATAAGAAGGTGTGGTGTGACAATTAAGATTAAGATAATTTTTAGATGCATATACGCCACTGTGATCAGTTTAGTAGCATATCGCCTAGGGTCTTTAACAGACAGTGTCAGTTTTCATGCGGAACTCAATTTGGAAGTGATGTGATCTAATCCACTCCAAGATGCAAGTACTGAAAGCTCCTATGGCTAATAGACAGCCCATTTTCAGACCACCTTTACCATTTCACGAACTCTAACGGCTATTATAGGCTGTAGAACTTGAAGAAATCATTGAAGTAGCAGTATCAATAGGTGAATGTGAAGGAAGCTTGGAAGGCGAAAACTTGAAAGATTGATAATGGTCATAGGTGATTTGACTGTTGAAAAAGGTATGAGGCTGGTTAACGTGTCCCGGCTACCCACAGCATTGACATTTACTTTTTACTGAGTCATCTGAAGAGAAAGAATATTAGTCAGGATGGCCTTAACAACCTAAATGTTAGCCGAGAGCTCGAAGTATTCTTCAGAAAGGTTCTCTTAACCACTAGTGGTGTATTTCGTCGAGATGAAAACTGTCTTTGATGGTTCAGAGATTGGAACCTTTATCAGATCCACTAATTCCTGTTTGGTTTAAGTACTGATGTAGCATAACTAGCCTCCAAACAAAAGATGAATTCTTCAGATCGTTGTTGAAAAGTCTACATGCACATAATGTCTTGCGTTCCTTTTCTGGGAATATCGTGTCGTTCAGCTGAACTTCTATGGAATCTAAGCATTGAAGGTTATGTGTAATTCTGGTGGAATATATTAATTTGTGACCCCCACATCACTTTCGTAGGATTACACTATGTAACCAATGTAATATGATAAAAACAAACCACTCCTAAATGATCAGTTTGATAGATTATCAAATGGACAGTCAGATTACACATTAGTAATTCACTGCATGTTTAACGTTGGAATTTCTCGCAGAAATTCGAAGTTTTACGCAGTAGTGCAATGTACCCAACTAAGTTGCAGTCATATGCATGAAATCCGTATATAGCTTTGGATAGTTGATAGAAATCAGAGAAACGGTAGGCAGTTAGGTATCCTTGATATACATATCAGTATTCAGGTTTTCATCAGTGGATTAAAGTCAGTCATCATTTTCAATTACCTTCTGTACCAAAAACTAATAATCATCAAGTTGGGAAGCGTTTGAAAACCAGTGATTGTGCATTCCACAAAGCAACCTCAACTAGAAGATAAAGTGAAATATATTTTAAAACCTTACCAATATTTGGATACTAATGCTCTAAAACTACTCTCCTTTCTTGCGAATATGATCTAACTGGTAAAACGTTGATAGCGGACTTAGCACTTTGATATTGATTTAGGCTACTAAGCCTTAGATTGGCATGATTTTTAGACTGATTATTAAACATTTCTTCTTGTTCTCGTCCCGTATATACAATAACACTTTGATCATCGAAATCGATGGGGCTGAAACAACTATTTCTAGTATGCTGATATGCTGAAGGTCTAGATGATTCATTGAGACTACTACAATCACTTTGCTTATGTTCTATTATTTTATGTGTCTCATTAAGTTTATCGTTGGCATATTTTGAATTTATTTGCTGCAAAATACACTGTCCACAACATTTTGTTGCTGTTTCTGATGAAATAGAGGATGATGTTAAATATCTAGCAGATTTTGTGTTTCTAGTTGCATAAGACACTGTTGTTGGCATAATTGTGCCTTTCTTTATTTTGTACTCAAACAATCCATCTGTTTTAGAAAAAACATCTTCATTTGAGTTAGTCAGATTAGCTTGAGATGAAGAAAACGTGAAATGTTTATTTGTCAAGATATTTGAGGTTGATGATGATCTCTTAACTGCAACTTTGGACTTTTTGATATCATTGAGAACATAGTCATTGTTACCGTCATTTGTGTTGCACTGTTTTGTGTCACTACTATTCTGACTTTCTTTATGAACTTTAGGTTCAATAAAGGTGTTACGGTTGGGTTGAATATTTTGTAGATTAGGTTTTGTAAATAGTGCTTGGTGCAGAACAGAAGTTTTTGATGATTGCAGATTTTGAGTTTTATCAAGTGGATGAAATTCCTGATGTAGCTGATTCCGATCTTCATCATTAATGCCCTCTCTAAAATATGAAGGTGTAATTGACAGTGTTTGAACTGAATTCTCCTTAGTTTTAGAATTATTCGTGGAATTATTTAAATTTTCATGTGAAGTATTCAAGGAGTCATCATTCTTACGAGTCAGTAAAGTAAAAGGATTGTCAATTTCATTGAATAGACGTGTAGATGAATGGTGAGAACTGTAATTTACTGGCTTAGATATTTTATCGCTTTGTGTCCAGAAAAATTGGTTGGATCGTGAAAAATATTCCGAAGTAATCAAGTGTATACCTCTGCAAAGTAAAAAAAAAATCGAAATTCGGTAAAAAATGTATAAGTATCAAACATATTGATTATTAATTAAACATAACGGGAAAGACAAATACAAGCAGATCTAGCTAAGTTTTTATGCTTGAGCTCACGACAACACTTACACGTCAGTTCAACCAGCGTATTCGAAAATTGATGTATGGATAACTGTTCCGCTCATAATTCATAAAAATGTCAAACTCACGTGTACTCCGTAACCATATGGGTTATGCGTTGAGATGTGAATCATTTTCTTGCAAACTTAAGGAACTGAATAGTATATTAAGTGTTGATACAAAAAAATGGTTAGTAAAAAAAATAATGTGAGCGAAGAAATATTTCTTTTCAATTACTTCTTCATCAATCGCTGTACGTTAATATAGCATTTCAAAACGTAAAGTTACATAACAATCTAGTGGTGAGTGTTGTTCATTTCATTCATCCGACAATTGATTATAACTAATATTGTAATAGCTCTATTATTGTTATTGTTAGTATTATAATAATTATTACTGCTATAGTTTTAGCCATCATCTTCTCCCCCTACTGTCTCTAATTACCGTCAACAATTTACCACTTTACGTAACAGTTCATTTTCGCTCCTTAGTTACCATTACATAAAACATCAATCATGGCTAGATGGTGTAGTGGACAACACTCTGGCGTTTGAAGCGAGTGCCCCCAAGTCCGAATCCCGGTGGGAACAACAACACACTGGAAGGCAGGTACATCCTTCCGACGAGTCCCAAGTAGGACGAAATGAGCATCCTGAGCATCCACCGCTAGCCACTACCCATCATTACTGTATATGTAAGAACCGGTTTACAATTTCAAAATCTATGCTTTAGTTAATTGTCTTTATTATCTGATCAATTATCACCTTCTTGATACTTTGAGATTGATAACCTTTGGTTAAACAACTCTCACCACTAGATTGGTATGTAATTTTACGTTTGTAAAATGCGATATATTAGTGTAGAGCTATTGATGAGGAACTAATTGAAAAGAGATATTTCTTCGCTCACATTGTTTGTTTGACTAAATGTGTAAATGGGAATTTGTGCATTACTGAAAAGGATGGTTAATAGACCAGCATATAAAAGTATACCTAGTCGAATTGAATTGGAATCTAAAATAGCTATTCCCACTTGAAATGATAACTAGTACAGAATTTCTCATACAGTTTTAACTTTGGTGGCTTGATTTGACATTTATTGAATAAGCTAGTGTATCTAATACTTGATGGTTAGCTAAATATTCATTAACTTGCTAGCGAGCTAGAAACAAATACAAACATGCCACACGTCTAGAGTTATAAACTGTAAAAGTAGATCGCTAAAAATTAAACTAAAATTTAGTCTTTAGTAGTAATAATATTAGGCTCGCCAGAAAAGCTGCCACCTGCGGTGCAGTTAGTGAGCCTAATTTGTCAGTCACTCTATGGGAAAACGTGTTCTTTACTCATGAAATAAATACTTCAATTTTTAAAAACCTAATTATGGTTTTTTAAAACTTACTTCTTACATAAATTGATAAGGTAGTTTAGACCTATTGTAGAAACTCCAGTCATGCTACATGCTATGGACATTGATTCCGGTGTCAATTCGCCTGACATGAGTGTTGTTAGATCTGGTAAAACGTTCTCAAAATTATAATGGGTAAATGAATCACAGGAATAATTTTCATCGTCTTCAGTATTATGAAAGACTGTTAAAAATGCATATTGAAGTATATCATAATAATAGACGGATGGTGATCGTGAGCTCAGTGTACCACCATTTGTGTTTACATGGTAAGCTGCTTGAAGAAATTTCAACATACGATAACCTTCTGATCCATGTACAGGAAATATACACTGAAAATCGCCCAGTGCAGCACGGTAACGTTCGTCTATTAGGTTGATAAGGGTGCGAAGATCATCAGGAGATAATTCCAACAACATGTGACGTAAAATGTTCATAGGATCCTGAAACACAGAGAAAAAATATATACATACATACAAATTCAAGTTAGGGATTCCAGTGACTAATTCTCAGAATGTCTTCATAATCCTATTTTGTTACCAAAACAATTTTTTATATTATTATTTATCCCTTGCAATGTCTAATGGAACAAAGGGCGTCAGTGGCACGTCTCCATTCCACTCTCTTCTCTCCAGCCTTCTTAACCTAACTCCACCACTACCCACAAGCCTTCATCTCTTCCTCACACAATCTCCTCCATGTCATCCTTGGATGCCCAACTCGTCGTTCCTCCTTTGGGTTCCATTGTACAGCCTGGCCTGGTCTGGCCGGGCCTGGTGCGTGATGTCCTCAAACCGTCTTCTCAGTGTATGTCCAATCCAATCCAACTCCACTTTCCTCTGCATATTTGTTGGGTGATAGGTTCTTGGTTGGTTCGTTGACAGCCAGCCAGTGTGAGTTTCTTGTTGCTTATTCTTGTTACTCTGACCATATATCTGATCTTCAGTATCGAGTGAGCGTAGGCAGCAGGTGTTGATGTATGTCTGTAGTTTTTTTATTAATGCTTTTCGTAACGCGTCAAGCCTCTGAACCATCACACAGAAATAATGATTTGAGTGAATTAGTGTGGAAAACCTGTATTTTGTTCAGGTTTTGAGTTGAGTTGAGTGGAGTGGAGTGGAGTGCAGTGCAGTGCAGTGCAGTGTAGTAGATCTCCACACTGGTTTGAGATGAATGCAGGAAGGTCTGTCTTGCTGTCTTTCCGATCCTGACTTCGACGTCCTCATATGTCCCTGTGTCGCCTGTAGATGAAACGATGTTGCCTTGCCTAGGTGGCTGAAAGAGACTACTTGCTTTAGATTTCTCCAGTTGAAGATGATTGGTGCTTGTTGTTGTTGTTGGTTGGGTTTCTTCATCACTTCTGTCTTCTTCACGTTCACCTGAAGTCAGTTCCGTCTTCCACTGCTGCCTTGCCCATTCTCTATCAAATTGTTAGTTTTCGCCTGTAGATTATCGAGTTTGTGCGACATTCAACATAAGTCATCATCGATGAAATCCAAATCTTCTAGTCTATTTTCAGGTGTCAAACAGCGTATGCCCGTCTTCTCGTTCCCCACAGTTTGTTGCATGATCCAATTCAGTCCAATCGACCAGAATCAGGAAGATCATGGGTGACAGTAGACAGCCTTGTCTTACTCCTGTCTTCACTTCAAAGGCATCACTGAAATTTGCATTGTGAATCACTTGGCATGTGGTGTCTTCAAGTAGCTATTGAATGAGATTGATGAAGGTCTGTGGTACTAATGGAGTAGTGTTGAAGCAACTGCCTGCCAAATTACTTCTCGATCGACGCCTCGATTGAAGGCCTTTTCAAAGTCGATGGAGTTGAGGTGAAGAGTTGACTACTATTCTATACTCTGTTCTATGATGATAATGCTTGGCGTATAGCCGCAATTTGATCAGCACATGACGCGTCTCAATATTTTGCTTGGTGTGACAGGGACAGCAGCATGATTCCGTACCAGCTCTTGTTCTTACAAACACTTAGGTCTTCCTCCTTTCAACATTTGACGTGGTGGTCCTTCTTCTAATCACCAGGTATGTTTCTTTATTCCCTACTCTGCAAACCTTCTGCAACAGTGGTGTGAGCATGTCCGCTGTTGTCTCTGCATCTATTTTCAGTGCTTCTGGAGGAATTCCATCTGGTTCTACTGCTTTCCTGACTTTCAGCAACTTTATGGCGTTCATGATTTCACTTTGGCTTTTGTTCGAGGGTTTGTGTTCACTGATAGTTGTGTGGCTGGACTGCTGGTGATATTTCTGGACGAGTTGCAGGTCATCTTGTTGGTGGTGGTTGATTCAAGAGTTTTTTGAAGTGGTCAGCCCATTTTCCTCTTTCTTTCTCTTCTTTCGTAGCATAGTTTCCTTCACAATCATTTATTAGTTTCGTCTGCGTTGATGTCTTCGCAGATAGTAACATGGTAATTTAATATGGTGTTGTCAGGTCTGTATCTCTCCTACCTGCAGCCTGTTCTGTTTCACTTGCCAGTGTGACTTAGAAGTTTCTTTTATCTCTCCATGCACTCTTCTTCACTTCTTTGACCAGTATTGTGTTTTATAGGTTGCATTCAGTTCCTTGGTTCACTGTTCATCCCCGCACTGCACTGCACTGCACTGTACTCCACTGGTTCATCTTCTCTTTCACCATCCATTCTCATTCATCATTTCAGCGACTGCCTCTCGACCCGACCCACGATGAGTTCTCTTCCATTATTGTCTGCTCCCATTTTCACACTCATCAATTTTGATGTCACCATCTGGTGTGGAGTCTTGTCCAATACTGATTGCAGTTATCTGTAGAATTCCTCCTTCTTCTCTTGGTCTGCATTATTCGTAGGTGCATTGTATTGGCATTGTATGTTTGTGAATTTCCCTCCTTTTGATTTGAATACTGCTGTCATGATCCTGATCCTGCAGGAGGAGATTGGTTCCCATTGTCTGAGAGCACTTGATGCTGTTGGGGACATCATGATAACGACTCCACAACTCAGTATGCTGGTGGTTGTCATGTCGTCTGGGTGACAATATCGGAGTATATTATTGACTCCTCTCCAGTTGACAGATTGGAGAGTCCACTTCCATCCCATCTGCTTACAAATATTGCCAGCCTTCCACTTCTATGCCATATCTTCTCATCTCTTTTGCAATCTATTCAGTATTGCCAGCCAGCTTCAAACACTGTGTGGACATTCAGTGTCGCCATGCTTACATTTCCTTTGATTGAGAGAAGAGACATATCGGGAAATTGGCTTCTCGAGGGCTTTCAGCAAGCGGCGTCATTTCGTCTCTCCGATTCAAGAGAGGAATTAGTTTATTTTTTATATTAACGGTTTGCTTTGGAGTTTCTTTATCGGTTAGATTGGTTTTCAGGGATAGGGTTGCTAGCCCTATGCCCAACGTTTGCTCTTTATCTGTGCTTAGGACCGGCTAGTAACTAAATATCTAGTTACCTAGGCGAAGTTTAGGGAATTTTCTAGGAAACAAATATCAGAGTCACACACGTGTATGATTATAATGCGGAGCATCACACTGATCCAGAAGTCTGTGAGTCTATCACAAAAGAATTTGAGACTGTACAAATCTAAGGTATACGAAACCAGAGCTAAAAAACGATTAACAATACTGTCAATGATTGATAATAGTTTAAGACAAAAATGTCTTTTTCAGATGTGAATGTAGCATGAATACGATAGCAAAATATAGTTAAGATTATTTACAGAAAATTTTTTGAAAACTCAATATTTGACTTTCTCTCTGTTTTTTATATAGCATATTCACCTCACAGCGCCTAGGCGACGTCTGTTCTGAAGTAGCTGAAAATATCATCTAGTCGCTTAGAGTGAAATACTTTGAATGAGTGTGAACTTATAACAGTTCGACTGACATGAAGGAATAACTTGAGCATTACGCAGAATGTAATGCAACTGATCTCGGATTCAAGTCTCAGGGAGAACGCAATTACTCAATGAGAAGCAGGTATATCCAACCGGATGAGTCTCATATAGAACCCTCCTAAACCAACTAATAATTTTCTTAGTAAGTTTAAGATAAATATGACGAATATTGTTATTGATAATAATAATGACATCAATGAAACGTTTTTGTATTTTGAAATGAATTAGTGAATTCTAATTAGATTTTTAATGAAACGTTTACAGACAATGATAATTTTCAATCTTAGTAATATTTCGAGCAAAATTACCGCCCGTGGTCACACCAACAGTTGAAATATTTTGGCAATGTTTATTAGTTTAAGTTGTTATTCATCGTAGACTGACATCAATTGGAGGAACAAAGGAAAACTGGGAAAACTGGACAGCTGTTTCGTCCTAGTATGGGACTCCTCAGCATCGATGGATAACAACTTTAAATATTTCCAAATCCCCACAACTCCCTCAAAATTCAGTCGAACTGGTGCTCATTGGTGACTAGCTTCGATAGGTATTCCCAGAGTTTCATTGAGATATCGTAGCCGATGGGGGCAAAGCCTGATGGTCGTGAGGACAGTTACTCAACGATGAAATTGGGTGGAGGTTGTGCTATATTGTGAGCTAACAGGAGTCGGAAATATGGACCACTGGACTATGACCCAGTGGCTCAATGGTAACGTGCTGGCCTTTGAACCTGAAGGTCGCGGGCTCGAGCCCTGGTGGTGTCTCGGGTTGGCACTGCTGAGGAGTCCCATACCAGAACGAAACAGCTGTCCAGCGCTCCCAGGTTTCCTTTGTTCCTCCAACTGATGTCAGTCTACGGTGAATAACAACTTGAAATATTTCCAAATCCCCACAACTCCCTATATTTATTATAGTAAACGTGGCAATACTGTAAAGAGGGAATTCAAAACCTATACAGTATTACCATCCAAGGAAGGTACCTAAGAGACATTATGTAGAATTTCCAATAAAAGCTGGGATAAGAGTGACATTTTAACCCACAAACATTTAGAAATATCATTTGTATACTGAAAGATCCTATTCATCCAATTAGACAAACCAATCTGGTTAACCACATCCCTTGCAACGAATGCGAGGTCAAATGTATAGGTCAAAGTAGTTGACCAGAGTTAATGACCCTATCTGAGCACAAAAACCTAGTGTAATCGGCATTGGTAGGTCCTAGTCAAATAAAGATTCTAAAAAAGGGCTCGGTCATAGCTATTCACGCAATTACATACTACCACACAAATAGGATGGGACAAAGTGAAATTAGGAAATAGTATGCAGACAAATGGGATAAGCCCTATCAACTGCACTTCATTCACATTTCTCTCTGTAGGAATATACTAAAGTTAATTTTATTACTTAAATATCAATCAACTGCTGATCAGTCTTCCATTATCTAGTAGATAATAGTATGTGAACTGCATCCATCAAAATAGATTTTGTTCACGTTGAAGCATAGCTAGCGCTAATAAAAAGTAAGTGATTACTAAGAAATAAACTGC